CCCCTTCCTTTCCCCCACCTCCTCCCTCTCCCCACAAGGTTTTTCTTATCTTTGAATTTTTTAATTTATATTTTGGTTTTATTGTGGCAGTAATGGTTCTGTTTTGTTTTACAAATCAACACTTTCACAGAAACTAAACCTTAACCATTGAAGATGCAGTCATAGGTGGGGCCAGAGTCTGAAATACCTAAGTGTTTACTTTGATTACAGAGTTTAGCTGTGTATGCTAGGAAATTAGACTTCTTGTTGAATTTTTTCAAGATTAGTGAGAAGAAATAGTAAATCACTGTGGCTTTCTGTTCTCTTTCAGCTCTCAGAGGAATTAGCAGATAAATGGCTTTCCTACCCGGAGACCCAGCACGTACCCCTCAGCCAGCACATGCTTGGCTTTGCTATGAAGTCTGTTACACAGATGGTGCTGGGCAGTACATTTGAAGATGAGCAGGAAGTCATTCACTTCCAGAAGAATCATGGCACAGTAAGTCTAGGGCCAAATTAAGATTCTTCTTTCATCAAATTATGTAGCTTAATGCAGACTTTGCTTCTCAAGATTAAGCTTACTTCCTCATTTTGGGCTAAAAAGACCAATGCAAGCAAAAAAAATTTTTTTTTGGTGGTACGTGCATTTGAACTCAGGGCCTCATGCTTGCTAGGCAGGTGCTCTACCACTTGAGCTGTGCCCCCAGCCCAAGTTAAGATTTTTTTCAGGGACTAATGACCCAATTTTGAAATATTAGAAATGTATTCTGCTGCTTATCTTAGAGTAATTTTTAACCTCTTCTGGGCTGCAGCAAATGTTTATCAATATCTTGAGTGAAATAAAAATTTATAATTATACTTGTGAATTTTATTTATTCACTTAAGCCATAAAATAAAAGTTTGAGCACTTATTCTGCTGTCATGTTCTCTTTCCTCTCCATCCCTACTCCTTTGATAAAAAAAGAAATTTTCGCTTTCTGGCTGTAATTGGTTTGAATGTGCCCTTGACTGAAACCATTAAAATATACTTGAACCTTATCCTCACAAACTGTGGAACAAATTCTCCACATTTAAAAAGGAGAACTTGGGCTGGTGGAGTGGCTCAAATAGTGGAGTGCCAACTTAGTAAGAGTGAGGCCCTGAATTCAAACCCCAGTACCACACACACACACATATACACACACACACACAAGGGGAGAGTTTATAAGATCAGATTTGTTGGTGAAGATGGAATTCTTTTCTTACCAGCTTTCACTGCTCTATGTTACTTATAAAATCTTTGGCTGGGTGCCAGTGGCTCACATCTATAATCTTAGCAACTCAGGAGGCAGAGAGCAGGAGAATTGTGGTTTGAAGCCTGCCCAGGGAAATAGTTTGCAAGACCTTTTCTTGAAAAAAACCCTTCACAAAAAAAGAACTGGTGGAGTGGCTCAAGGTGTAACCCTTGAGTTCAAACCCCAGTAACTGTGAAAAAAAAAAATCTTTGTACCAAAGATAATAGATATGTTTGCCTATTTTCAGGTTTGGTCTGAGATTGGAAAAGGCTTTCTAGATGGATCACTGGATAAAAGTGCAACTCGGAAAAAACAATATGAAGATGGTAAATCTATTCACTATTAATTTTTAATAGAGAAAAGGATATGTGCCCCAGTTTTAGTAGGGTCATCTCTGAGATTCTGGTGAGATTATAGATCATGTATACTTTTTCTCCTTATGCTTTTTTTCCCCATATTTCCTACAATGGAATTTTTTCTTCAGCAAAAGAGAGAAAGCCTTTAAGTAGACAGAAAGAAACTAGTACTCACTGCAGAATGGGTACAATATGCAGAATTCATGGAAAGTAGAAGGATACAATCCTTAGAAAGCAATTTGACAATACATATTAAGAGTCACAAATAATGGATGAAATTATCTAGAAGAAGAAAATATTTGCTGAGCACCATGGCTCATACCTATAATCCCAGCTCTCTGGCGGAGATTGAGAGGATCTCTGCTGGAGGCCAGCCCAGGCAAAAAGTTAGCAAGACCCATCTCATCTAACAAGCCAGACATGTTGGTATAAGTCTGTAATCTGTAATTTTCATGGGAGGCATAGTTAGGAGGATTGTGGTCCAAGGCCACTCCAGGCAAAAATTGTACAACCTTATTTGAAAAATAACCTAAAAGCAAAAAGGGTGAGGTATGGCTCAAGTTGTAGAGCACTTGCCTGGCAAATGTAAGGCCCTGAGTCCAAACCCCAGTCCCACAAAAAAAAAAAAAAAGAGAGAGAGGAAGAAAAGAAAATGTTCATGAAGATTTTTGCATGTGTATATATAGTACTAAGGATAGAACCCAGGGCCTCACATATGCCAGGCATGCACTGTAGCACTGAGCCACACTCCCAGGCTTTATTTGTAGTACTATCTCTGTAAGAAAACCAAAACCAAACTAAATTGCCAACATTATAAGAATTGCTAAGAAAATAATGTTGTGATTATTATAAAATATTTGTTAAAATGTAGCAACAAAATTATTTTGTTATAAAATTGAGCAAAAATATTTTTAAATTGTCTTTCATTGGTTACAATTTTATAAAATTTATCAAGAAAACAGCAATTTTAATTTTAAAATAGCTACCCAAAATTATTTTCCCATACTGTTTTGTTGTTCTGTATTTTCTGTCAGTGGTTGATTGGTTGTAATGTTTTGATACATTTATCCTGACCTGCTTCAGTTCCTTTTTTGGCAACAAGCAGGGTAAATTAAAATATGTAGGCTGGCAGGGCACAGTGTTACACATCTGTAATTTCAGCTACTTTTGGGAGGCTGAGACAGGAGAATCACTGGAGCCCAAGAGTTCAAGGAGTTTGGTGCGCCTTGAAACTTGTGGAGCAAATGGAACCTGCTGGCCCATAAGCTACAAGGCTCCTTCTGGCCAGCAGCAGCTCTCAGTACACAAAGAAGGGAACATTCTAAAGTGAAAGCAGCCCTGAAGTGCACAACTGACCCGTGATTGTCCCTACACATTGTCCATGTTCAGCATCAATCTGTACTGTTGGAACTTCAGAGACTCCAGCTACTTTTCTTTTCTCTGAGTGGTTTGGAGATCAGGTCTCATGCCCTGAGCACTTGGATAAATGTTTGGCTTCTGAGCTATATCACCAATCCGGTGGTGAGAAACTATACATCAATACTGCCACTACTTAGTCCTGCCTAAGCATTGAGAATACTTCAACTAGGAGATTACAGGAGATTAGATGATTTGGCCTCAGCTGCATAGATCTCAACACAGAAACACAAGAAACACAAAAAAACAAGGCAATATGACTGACTCTTCCAAGAGTCAACAATTATGGATTCTTAATGATAGTGAAGTGGATAAAATGATTGTTGGACTGTTCAATGAATTTAAAGGGGAAACAAAATAAACAACTGAATGAAATAAGGGACAGTGCAGGATATGAAAGGGACTCAATAAAGATGGAAATCTATACATGAAAAGCTCAAGAACTCAAATAAAAACTCAGTTGAAAGCTTCATAAATAGTTTGGATCAAATGGAAGGGCTTGAAGACAAGGTGGATGATTAGAACATTCAGACAATGGCAATGAAAAAAATTAAGAAAGTATGAATGTAACACACAAGACCTCCGAGGCATTATTAAAAGACCAAACCTTCAAATCATGGGCATAGAAGGAGACAGGGTATAAGCTGAAGGCATAGAAAACATACTCAATAAAGTAATAGAACATTTCACAAATCTTGGAATAGAGATAGTCATCCAGGTACAGGAGGCTTTTAGAACATCAAACAGATAAGACCAGCAAAGAATCTCTCCATGGCATATTATCATTAAAACATTAATGGGCTGGGGGAGTGGCTCAAGTGGTAGATTGCCTGCCTCACAACTGTGAGGCCCTGAGTTCAAACCCCAGTACCAAAAAAGCAAACAAATAAAAACCATTAAGTATCCATAATAAGGAAAGAATATTGAAAGTTGTAAGAGAAAAGTGCTAAGTTATATATAAAGGCAAACCCATCAGAATAACAGCAGATTTCTCATCAGAAACTCTAAAGGGAAGGAGGGCATGGAATAACTGCCAGCCCAGAATACTTTACCCAGCAAAGCTGTCTTTCATAATTAAAGAAAGAAATAAATTCATAGTTGAAGAGCAACAAAGTGAGATGGAAGGAAGGAAGGGAAAAGAAAACCAGGCACCACTGACTCATACCCTTAATCTTAGGTACTTGGGGGACTGAGATCAGGAGGATTGTGGTTTGAGGCCAGCCTAGGCAAATAGTTTGTGAGACCCCCATCTCTAAAGTAGAGCAAAATGGACTGGATGTGGCTCAAGCAATAGAGCACCTGCTTTGCCAATGTGAAGCCTTGAGTTCAAACCCCTGCCTCAAAAAAGGCTGCATTGAAAAAATGAATTTTTTTTCAACATTCTAGTTTTGCCTCACAGGATTTGTCTTCCTTTATTTTTTTTTTTTTGTGGTACTAGGTCTTGAACTCAGGGCCTACACCTTGTATACCTTGAGCCACCCCACCAGCCTTTTTTGTGATGGGTATTTTCTAGATATGGGTCTTGAGAGCTATTTGCCTGGGCTGGCTTCACACTTTGATCCTCCTGATCTCTGCCTTCTGAGTAGCTAGGATTACAGGCATGAGCCACTGGCGCCCAGCTCCTTTATTCTTTTAAGAAATATTTAATTGTGGCTTACTATATGCTGTCCCCGTTCTATGCACAGGACATAGAATTCCCTTCTTCATTAGGTTACTATTCTAGTGATTTCCTTTAAAAATAAAAAAGCCAATTTTATTGACACATTTCCTGACATTTGTTTTATCCTTCTGATTATCTCAATTAATGCATTTGGATTAATTCCCCTTGCTAAAGAATATATTTCAGCAATACTGATTAGACTAATGTGAAATGACTCCAATTAAAAGTAGATTGTTTAGCATGATATATGTATATATATATTCCTTAGGCTATCAGGCATAGATCTGGTTTGAGATTTTATTGATAATGATTATATTTTGGTATTTGTGAGTTTGAGAGGTTCCAGTCCATCATGGTGGAGAGAGTATGACAGAGTAAAGCAGCTCATCTTATGGTGGCCATAAGAGAGAGAGAGAGAGAGAGAGAATGAGAGAATGAATGAATATGAGAATTCTTGCCCTGGCTGGCTTTCTCTTTTTTCTCCTTTCATTCCATCCAGGCCCCCAGCATATGGCATATGGGATGTGCCACCCACAGTTGGGGTGGGTCTCTTCCCTCCTTAATTAATCCTCTCTAAGAGACACTCCAGATGTGTGCTTTACTTATCTTTAGGTGCTTCTCAATCCATTCAAGTTGACAGTCATGATCAACCATCCCAATCAGAATCTCCTTTCTTAAATGAATAATTCCCAATCTGCTCTGCACAGTAGAATCACTTGAAGAACTTAATACCTGAAGATCGGGCCCTGTCGTAAACCAGTTTATTCAAAGCCCTAGGTATCAAATAGTTTTGTCAAAGCTTCCCAAGTTATTGAAATGTACTTTTTTAGTATTGAGAATGTATAGCAGTAATTGCCAAACTTCACTATACTAAGTCTTTCTAAAAATGTTAAAGCCAGGCTTCTATCTCTAAACATTCAGATTTACTTGTTAGGAAGTATGACTTATACTTTACTATTTAAAAAAAAAGCTTCCAGGTGAACAGGACATAGTGGCATACATCTATAATCCCAGCTACTTGGGAGGCAAAGGCAGTAGGATTGCAAGTTCAAGGCTAGCCTGTCAAGACCCTGTTTTGAAAACAAACAAGGGCCAGGGCCATAGTTCAAGTGGTAGAGCACTTACCAAGCATGCTTGAGGCCCTGGGTTCAATCCCTGGCACTGCAAAAGAAAAAACAAAAAAAAGCTTCCCAGGTCGTTCCACAGTACAGCAAAGTTTGGAAACTACAGCATTACACTGTTAGTAATTTCTCATTTTCATCACTAATGTGTACTACATTCTTTCAGTTTTATAAATATTTAATTAAGATTTTTAATCCTGGCATGTTTAGGTGCTAGGGAGATGTCAGTGAATACATAAAATTTCTTGTTCTTCAGCCTTTTTGTCTGACATCTTAGCAAGGCTACAGTGGTCGCCACTGTTCTCCCAGCTTCTCGATGCCGCCCAAGGACGACAAGAAGAAGAAAGATGAGGAAAAGTCAGCCAAGAAGGACAAAGACCCAGTAAACAAATCTGGGGGCAAGGCCAAAAAGAAGAAGTGGTCCAAAGGCAAAGTTCGGGACAAGCTCAA